TATATATATATATATATATATATATATATATATATATATAATAACATATAATATAGTATATAATAAGTATATATATATAATATATATGTATATTAACTGGAACTGATTTAACCAGACCAACAGGGTGCTACCATTGTCTTTCGAGACAGACGGATGCCGATCTATATATATATATATTATAATAAATATATAATACAAAGTAATGTGTAAAAAGACTTTACTAGTGGAACTGAAGACGAAGTGGCTCAACAGTTTGCTGTCGGTACATCGGCAGACAAGTACGCGGACGCATAAAACAAATTTCAAAACGTTAAAAGTATAAAGATAACATATAAGAATATATATATATAATAACATATAGGATAACACAAATAAGCGTTGGATATGCCTAAGGACTGATACGCAGTTATGAAATAATGTTGTTGTTGTTGTCGTTGTTGTTTTTGTTGTTGCTTAATTGTTGCTGCTGCTGCCGTTGCTGTCGTCGTCGTCGTCGTCGTTGTCGTCGCCGTCGTCGTCGTCGTTAATTGTTAATGTTGTTGTTGTTGCTGCTGCTGCTGTTGTTGTTGTTGCTGCTGCTGCTGTTGTTGTTGTTTTTGTTTTTGTTGCTGCTGCTGTTGTTGTTGTTGTTGTTGTTTTTGTTGTTGCTGCTGCTGCCGTTGCTGTCGTCGTCGTCGTCGTCGTTGTCGTCGCCGTCGTCGTCGTCGTTGTTGTTGTTGTTGCTGCTGCTGCTGCTGTTGTTGTTGTTGCTGCTGCTGCTGCTGTTGTTGTTGTTTTTGTTGTTGTTGCTGCTGCTGTTGTTGTTGTTGTTGTTTTTGTTTTTGTTGCTGTTGCTGCTGCTGTTGTTGTTGTTTTTGTTGTTGCTGCTGCTGTCGCTGTTAATTGTTATCGTGGCGATGTCGTGATAACTGTAACCAAGGATAACGCACCAGAGCAGGATTCCATCGTGGACCTTGGAGTAAAGGCTCTTGCCATCCACGGCGACGGGCAGCAGATGCTTCAGGTCCAGGTCCGAGGCCAAGTTACTGCATCGATATATTCACAAATGTCAGCAAATCGATGATATAAATATCAAGAATGTATAGACAGGGTCGGATATAAATACAGTGAGGCCCTTATAAAGCTATTGGAGGCTCTATTAAATTTTGGTAATTTTTGACAGAGAATAAAGCCGCGCAACAACTAAACTTGGCAAGAATGCCGCCAAGATGCATAACAAATCTGTGTGGGGTGGAGGGGGGGTGGAGGTTGCTCATTTAGAACTTTGAAAATATGCCTTTTATTAGTTAATATGAGATTTTGAGAGGCCTCTTTAGGCTGTGAGGCCCTAGGCTATATCTTGTTTAGCTTGTGCCTAAATCCGGTGTATAGACATGATGCAATGCTGCGACGGTTCCAGAAGATTCGATTTCATATTTGGATGTTTTGCCATAACGTGACGCGACGGGTGTGTTGAGAACATAGAAATAATAATTATAAATAGACTTATCTGTTATCTATGTTATTTCTATGGTTGAGAATAACAAGTTGCGTAATAATGTTCACGGAACTAAACCTTACTATTAATAAATACAGATATATGTTGAGAAGGTGTAGCATTTTCTGGAATAAGATAAGGCCATATAGAGAGAAGGGGGACAGCGTGTGTCGCACACGAGATTGAGAGAGAGAGAGAGAGAGAGAGAGAGAAAGAGAGAGAGAGAGAGAGAGAGAGAGAGAGAGAAGAAGAGAGAGAGAGGAGAGAGAGAGAGAGAGAGAGAGAGAGAGAGAAGAGAGAGAAAGAGAGAGAGAGAGAGAGAGAGAGAGAGAGAGAGATCAAGGGAGAGGGAGGGAGAGAATGAGAGAGAGAGAGAGAGAGAGAGAGAGAGAGAGAGAGAGAAGGAACGATCAAGAGAGAAACAAAGAGAGCTCCATACACGTTTATCCAATTGGCGAAAGCTGCCTCCTCTTCCTGTTTAACAGAGTGAGTGGTTCCCATCACACGATCCTCCTGATGTGGCCGCCCCTGCTTCTCTCACGCCGGTTGCCTTGGACCAACCCATGCTTCTTGAAACCGCCTTCGACCACGCGTGAACGTCTTGACTCGTGAGAGTCGTTATAACAGCTGAAAAAAACATATTGTTGAGACGTCGCTACCAGTCCATTATATAAAATCTAATATCTAATAAGATATAAGATATTAGAATAGAGATGAGATCAAATATGTTATGTAATATAATAAAGAAA